GAGAGTCTCTATAATCAGCAGCCTCTGCACACAGAATATCAAATCAGTGATTACAAAATAACAGAGCTTTCAGATTTAAGGGGAACACTCTGGGTAAGCATCCAGACCTTAGAAGGTCCTTAATAATTCATTGCGAGAGCAGTTGTGGAAATGGGGCCATTTGCATCGCCAGCCAGCCTTTATAATTCGGGCTTCTAAGCAGGCACATGTTCCACATCTCTCCCTGCATGCATAGGGCCTGGTTCTCCTGTCATTCACAGCCCTCAAATTCCCCTTTGAGTGTAATTTAAATAACAGAGTTGTATACTTCTTTTCTGTCATGGAAATTATCATTGTCATCTTGATGATCCTACCCATCTTATGGTATCTCAAAAGAAACAGGGGGTGCAATGTTGGGGGTAAGGGGGTGATAGTTTTAAAAGAATAAAAGGCATCTCACTTATGCAGCTCCATGTTCCAGGATGAGAAGGTATAACGGCATTCAGCATTAATATATTCACTTAATCAGATCATGGATTTTCAGGAGCTATTTTAATACTGAGTGGAATTCTCTCAGGAGGATTTTAATTAGCACCCTCCCATTTCCATTCTCACCTTCTTGTTCCACTACCTTTCCAGGACATATTTGGTGCCAGGTATAAATCAATACAGATACAGATATAAATGTAGACATAGATATAGTTACAGATATGGAAATAGATATCGATGCCGATATAGACACAGATTAGATGTAGGTGTAAATGTAAAGATGATGTAGATATCCAAGTATTATCGCATCTGAAGACTTCTCTGACCATCCCAACACTTCCTCCTCTCTCCAGATATACCTGAGCACTTTTAGTCATCTGAGAAAAATTCAACATACCCTAAAAGACTCAAGCTAAGGAAAATGTCCCGTCTCTCATGCATGGCTGGTGAGTGCCAGCAATTCCACTGCTAGAGAGACACCCAACAGTAACAGGCGTCTTTTCCACATAAAGACATGTGCACAAAAGTATTTGCCGAATCACTAATCATTATAGCCAAGAACTAAAGATAACCAAATGCTCATCAACAGAGAGGGGGTAAATACAGTAATCTATTTTCATACTCAGAAGTATTTCAAGGCAGTGAAAAGACAAGAACTACTGGATGAACCTAGAATTACTGGGAAAAGGACATGGATAAATCTCATGGAGTTACATTGAACCAGGTACCAACACTACATACTGTATGGCTCCTTTCATATGAAGTTGAAGGGCCAGCAAAACTAGTCCATGCTGTGGGGGCTGGAATAGTCAATAGTTCAGCAATTTTGGGATTGCATGGCAGTGGACACTGGACAGATTTCTGGGTTGATGAAAACGTGCTCTATCTGAATCTGGGTGATATTTACAGAAGGGCGTATATGGAAAATTCCACCTAGATGTACACTCAGGATTCCTGCGTTATATTGTATATGTGGCACCTCAATCAAAAAGTTTTTAAAAAGAAAATACTGTTTCAAATTCCTAAAAAGGAGAGGTGAACATGAAGAAGGTAGATTCAATAAACTACAGATTGTTGGATTTTATGCTGGGTCCCAGCAGAATTCTTGAATTACGTTGTAACGAGTTTCTGAGGACTTTGGACTGTTTCTGTATTCACTTGGAGGAAGTCACACCCAGCTATTCTGCTTCGTGATACGTTTAGTAGACTACTTGCTTGAGTCCATGTCATAAAATGATGGTTAATGTTGTATGTCAACTTGCCTGGGCCACGAGGTGCTGAGATCATTAGTCAAACATTTATTCTCGGTATCTCTAGGAGAATGTTCTCGGATGAGATGAACATTTAAATTGGTGAACTGAGTAGACCATATTTCCCTCCCTAATGTGGGTCGGCCTCATCCAGTCCATTGAAGAACTGAGGGTCAGCAAAAAGGCCGACCCTCCCCCGAGGAAAAAGTAATTCTTCTTGCCTTCAGACTCAAACTGAAACATCAGCTCTTCCTGGGGCTTGAGCCTGAGGGCCTTCAGACTAGAACTTACACCATTGGCTCAACTAGTTCTCCAGTTTGCCTGGTCATCCTGCAGATCTAGGCAGTGACCAGTCTTCATAATTGTGTGAGCAAATTCCTTATAATTAATATCTTTTTATCTTTCTATCTATCTATCTATCTATCATCTGTCTATCATCATCTATCATCATCATCATCTGTCTATTTATCATCATCATCATCTATCTATCATCATCATCATTTATCTATCATCTATCTCATCTATCTATCTCTCTCTCTATACATAAATACATCCTATTGGTTTGGTTTCTCTGGAGAACCCTGATTAACACACACGCACAAATGAAAATGAATTTTAGCCACAACCAAATCTCTCCTAACATCTTAAGGACAGGGTGAAGCAATATACCCTGAGGAATCCGATTGGATGTGCCACTCCAAGGCGTTATTAATCACCAAACATGAAGAGTCTTGTTCAATGTGTCAATGGGAGACATTTTCTAATGAGAGGTTTCAGATTTCTACTCTCATTTATACTTACTCAAACTTTTATCTCCACTTGTAAGAACATGTAAAGGTAACTTACCAGGTTTCCTTTTTTTTTTTCCCACAAAGATGCTGTAGTTCATATCAAAATCAAAATTAAAAGAATATGGATATGGTTTTTTAAGTTAAAATCTTTCACATGTTCCAAAATTCATAGACAAAGAAAGATGGAGATGGCTAGCACATAAAAAATATTTGCATGAAGAAAATCTAGAGCTTTTTGTATATTCAGTATTAGCCACTTATGAGTCAGCTGCCACAAGATGGGATGAAACCCTGGGCTACATTAAAAGAAGATAGTAATCAGGAAGAAAGAGTCCCATTGTATTTTGGACACTGTGTTCCCTTTAGGCTTCATGTTTTAGGAGAAAACCTGATGAACTAGAGAGCTCCAGAGAAGAACATTCAAGATTTCAAAGATCTGATAACCATGGGAGTTGATGGTCACCAAATTGATGCTTACAGATCAAATAGAGTCCCTTTTCCAAAATTGCACGAGTTGAAACTCTATGCCAACGCTCATGCTGGAACTAGTAATTAGATATATAATGATTCTCATGGAAAGATCCAGAAAGTCTAACATGGACCCAAGGAGGATAGTACAGGAAACAAGTTGTGGCAAAACTGAAGGAAAGACAGTCTTAATCATTAGAACCATTCAAAGCAGATCAGGAGAGTTTGCTGGAAGTTTTCAAACCAAAGCAGAAGATCCACTTGGAAGAAATATTACAAAAATTGACCCAAGTACCACTAGTATCCCAAATCTAAGAATCTGTGATTGGAAGGTGTGAGATTTAAGTTCTTTCTCCTCCTAGATCCAATGCTTCCCAAGAGTGAACCGCAACCTCCTTGCAAACTCCTCTAATAGACAATCGTGTGTGCTGGCCCCCACTCTCAAGTCCTCAAACGCTTAATTTCTGCTGTGTCATTTGATCTTCCCCCAAACCGCGCACACTTTCTTGCAACCATCTCCACACCTTCCTCTCAGTTTCACCTTTTGCCGTCTTGTGGGGGACCACTCACAGCTTACCTCCCAAATTAAGCTGACTTCGCATTTCTTTAAGGATAAACTACTTCATTTACATTTTGGAATTTCTAATTAAAGGCATACAGTGTCTTGTCACGAGCTTATAAATGTTGACTATTACCAAGTTTGGCTTCTCATTGCTCCACCTGGAAAGCAATCAGTCCCTCCCTTCTATCTGCTCAGATCCAACTGCACCCCACAGAGGACTCAGCTCCACAGGGAAGCATTGCCAGACAGCTCACCTTAAACAATTTAGTTGAAAGCCTATCAGTGTAAAATAAATTATTTGAGAAAAGTGGTGTTTTTCTTGCTCGTTTTGCTATTTTACCTACGAGTATACAGTCTTATGTTCCGTATTCTTCATGAGTTTAAAGGAGTAAAGCGGTTTGAGAGAAGATTCCCCACTTCTTCCTTCTTCCTTCATCCTGTGCCTCCTCCTCTTCCTTTTCTTCTCCTCCTCCATCTCCTTCTCCTCCTCCATCTCTGTCTTCACCTTCATCTTCTTTGTGTCCTCCTCTCTCTTTTTAAATCTCACATTTATATTTAGCCAATCATTTCTCCTCTATTATTCAGAACAGCAAAATGTCCAAAACAACCTAAGTGCACTACACTAAGGATGGCTCGCTATATGATGGTTCCTTAAAGACAATATTTAAAGAACAAAGCTACACAAACTCAACAGTGCTTGGGAACCTACACTTTAAAACAAACTATAATTTTTAAACAATCATGCAATATTGTCAAACAACTTAAGCAGGAATAAATTTTCAAAATGATGTGAACATTCTGCAAAATAGGAAAATGAAAAACTATGACAATCTTTAAAGAAACTTAAAAGAATGAAAACATTTCTAGTCATAATGCCTATGTGATTAAAACAAGCGAATGGGATGTCCACTTCCACTAAAGCATTATTTTAACCAAATTACCATCTTAGTCAAGTTCTCATAAAATTGCTTTTTGTAAACTCATTTGTAGAGAAGGATTCTAGATTATGGTGATCTTTTATTTCTCTAATCGCTTGTGTCTTTACCATTTATTTGAAATTTAATAACATACCTTCTTGAATCATTATTTAACTTTTCACATTTTTGGCAAAGTGCTTGAGATCTCAGAGATGGGGGCCAGTCTCCACGTGTTCAGAAGCAAGCTCTGCCCCTTAGCTAGCTGAGTAAGGCAAGTTATTTACTCTATGCCAAATCTCCTCATCTATAAAGTAGTCATAATAGTATTCAGCATTGCATTGTTGCAAGGATTAAATGAGTTACTATGTATGAAAGCTCTCTACCTTCCTACGTGTATGCCCTCTACCCCACTAGACTTCTGGTTCCTAAATCCCCCTGTAAGAGTTGGAGCAATCCCGTAAACATGGAGTATTACTTGGCTAACCAATTCTTGATTGGTTAATACTTGGAGTGTTAACTAATAGTGTCACTGAGCTTCATTCACCTGAGCTCCTATCCTGTCACCAAACATAAATGGGTTGACTAGATGTGGCATCTGCTCATGAGATTCTCACAAGCCTAATCAGAGAGAGAATCCAAAACTTCTGAGGCAGCATGAAGAGACATCCTGGCCCCACACTTGGATCCATCCACTGTGCTTCCAAGATAAGCAGCGGTGTTCCTTCAAAACAAAACATAATGTCAGCACTGCCCTTCATTGTGGGGGACACAGGAGGAGCTGGGTGAAGTGTTCTGGGTCAGAGTGGGAATATAAGAATTTACTTTCCTAACTACATGCTGCTCTAAAGCCCCACGTGCATGGGTCATTCTTTGGTGATGACATTGACAGGAAGCTTGTATAACACATCACACTATCCTACAATATTTGGGGAGAGAAAGCCCTGAAATTGACTTACTCCATTAAACCCTAAGTATGTTGACCACCATAACAGCTTTCATTGCATATAGTCTGCGGGTTAATGACTTCGAGTTCTCTGAAGAACAGGGAAGATGGTGTGAATAATGCACAGCAACACCCAATTGATTCTGCAAAACTAACTCTGAATAAAATTCCATTTCCTCAAGTGGGCAGACCCTTCTCTCATTAAAAAAAGAAAAATTGGATTCTTCTACTTGGGAACCGGTTGCTTGTAGGTTAATGATGCCTCCCTGGTTATAACGTGTTTACCAAGCAAGGGGGTCTGCGGCGTGGGGAAGCCAGTGAGTGTTGTCACATGCAATCCCCAGGCTGCTGAGAGAGCAGCTGATTAAGAGTTTTATTTGTTTTCCTGCAGTCTTATGACTTATTTCTTAATGAAAACCCTTACTGTTTTCTCAGAAAAAACGGAGAATGACTCCAGTGTTTGAGATGGAATGAGGAAGCGTTTTTATGAGTATAAAGAAAACTCAAAGAATCATAAGCACAAAAGCAGCGAACCAAGCAGTGTTCTTCCCTCACACAGCAGCCAGATGGTGCCTTAGGCAAGTGCAAAGGATGCTGTCAGCACACACAGGTCCCACAGCTACAGCAGCTACACCTGAGATTGGGATCTTTGCACCGAGCAGAAAAGCATCTTGCAGCATCAGGAGCAGCAGCAATATCATCAGCATCATCATTGTCGTCACCACCATCATCATTATCATCATCAGCAGCAGCATCATCATCATCATCACCACCATTAGCATCAGCAGCAACAGCAACATCAGCAGCAGCAGGATCACAATTAATGTCCTGCAGATTTTTGCAGCTTATTTACAAACTAGCATATAATAAGTCTAAAATAAATCAGTTCAAGTTAAGAATCTCAAAGAGTATTTCAAGGCAGATGATAGTTTGACGAGAGTCTTCCTTTTTCCCAAAATAAGGTCCTTTCATGTGTCATGGGAAATAATACTTTGGGGTTTTGGGGTTTTTTTCTTTTTGTTTTTGGGGTTGTTTTTGGTGCTTGAGTGCCTTTCTGGTGTATGGGATGGACCTCCTTGAAGGGGCTTTTGTTTTCAGATCCGTAGTCTTCAGTAAACCAGCTCACTCAGAGAAACCTAAAGCTTCACTCTGTTCCCATGAATAATATTGGAAGAGCCTATCTTTACCTCAAACCACATTCTCAGGGCTTGACTTAAGGATGCTAGAACAATTCTGGAACCATTTTCAATAAAGGAGACAATATATTTTTGCTTCTAAGGGACTTTGGCTCCTTCTCTTACTTTGGGTGATTCTACAGCACTTCATGTGTCACTCATCTTACTTGATAGGATCTTCTCAAAGACAAACATGCCAGTAACCATGACTCATAGAATTAGAACCGAGATCCGAGACTCTCAACTAGAACAAGGTGACGATATCTATTCCTACTTGGGATGCTATTCCAAATAATCACCACCAGGTACAGGTACAGCCCTAAGAGATGGACGCTGGTCTTACCAGGTTGGACAATGTCCTAGGTTGGGCATTGCCATTATGGACCATGAGGACACTGGGGATCACAGGGCAGGGTTGTGGCATGCAGAGCGGAGCTTGGGGCAGAGGTTCTTTACCTGATGCTGCAGGGGAATTTCAATGTTTTAAACTCTGGAGTGGCTCTCCTAACGCCTACCAAGTGGATCATCAGCCTTGCTTCCAGTTAAAGTCACCTCGCCCAAAACACAAATGGAAACACTGAAAGATTCAAAGTAACAATTGGATCTGAATTCCTGAGCAAAGAAATGGACGTAGTTCCACTGATATTCTGAGAGCATCCTTCTGCGTTAGAGAACATGAAAAAAGAGGAATACATATCTCTTGACAACCATGGGCTTGATCATTCCACAGAATGCCTCAGTACTTCTCCCCTAAGATTGTAAAGTGAACGCCCAGGACAGTCACAGGATGGGTGAGAACTTCCAGAAGCTTCTCCCTTCCAACCCACCTCTTCACTCTGCCACATTTCCCCCAGGAAAAGCAAATTTTGTCATGAAAAAAAAATCATCTAGGAAACCCCCAATAACATAAGCTTAGATATCAGTACATGTATATCCTGCAGCACTTATGGCTCAGAACGAGCTCGAATAAAATACACAGCTTTGCAGGAAAGCAAGGACTCTGTGCCTGCAACTATTCACTAAAACCACTTTCCCCTCTCCCACCAGGATATGCAGGGCCACCATGTTCTTCCTTCTGGTTCACAGGGTCTGGCTTCATCCACGATCTAAAATTGAATTCCAGGACCCATCAGATCCGCCTCATTCCCAGATGCCAGGTTTAAAACTTAACTCATTTGAACACGTTGGAAGTATGAGAATTAGATATCCAAGGACACACACACACATACACCCATCCAGGATGGAAGAAAACCCAGCACTTTTTTGGCAACGCTTAGTGTATGGGTGCAAAATACACAAATGAACACAGAAGGACAAATTCTGTATGATTTCACTCCTACGAGGTGCCTAGAGTAGTTAGATTCATAGAGACAGAACGTGGAATAGTAGGTGTCAGGAGCTGGGGGAGGAAGGTGGAGACTTAGTGTTTGATGGGGACAGTTTCAGTTGATGAAGATCAAAAAAGTTCTGGAGATGGATGGTGGTGATGGTTGCACAACAGTGTGAATGTACTTAATACCACCGAACTGGACACTTAAAAATGGTTAAGATGGTAAATTTTACGTTATATACACCTTACTATGCCACACACACACACACACACACACGCACACACACACACACACACACAGAGTTGGCTCTGGTTTCCAGGCGTCATTGGAGAGGTGTCCTGCCTTTGCTTCTCATCGTCCTGCCCCGATCTCCCGTCGCAGGCTGCACGGCGCTCGCCACTCCCAAGAATATTTTCTGTTATATGTCTTCTTCTCCCAAACTGCTCAAGTTAATATTTTGTCTCAAGCATCCCTTCTTGTTAACCATGGAGCAAGGTTCTCGAGCAAGAACATAGAAGTCATTTTCTTTGGTGACTGGAAGAAACGCTTTCATCTGAAACTGGGTTGAAAGCCTTCTGATGACAATGAAAAGCCTGAGCTCAGAGGAGCTGGTAATTGGCAGCCTCCACCAGGTGAAACCCCAGGGCTCTGAAGGCTGACAGTGCATCATCATGAGTCTGATAATTAACTCTCTGAGGAGCACATCTCTCCTGGGGAAAGGGACACTCTCTCACTGCCAGGAGGAAGAAACAGGTATGATTTTCCGTCATCATCCCCTGGGGATCAGAGGTAAGCCTCACAATTAGGCAACCTGGGACATCAACACAATGCTTCTATATCAGAAACCTACTGGAGGGCAGGGGGATTTAAAACATGGCACCCCAATACTTCAAAAGTCACCAGAAACCTACGTCCATGTGGCGAGTTTTAAAACATGGAGCCTTATACTTCAAGGGTTGTCAGGAATCCATCTCCATGTGGGGAGATTAAAAAGATGGCACCCTAATACTTTAAGGGTGATCCAAAACTTATCTCCATGCGGGGAGTTATTAAAGACGCTAAACCGATACTTCAATGGTTGAATGATTACAAGCTTTAAGAATGTATCCTTCTTGGTGTAAAAAAATATTAATTCTCTTTTTCTATGTTGTGCAGAAAGAGGTAATCAGAATTACGTCGGAAACAAGCTAAGAGGAGCTGACTCAGGTTTAACACGAAAAAGGCTCTTTTCTTTCAAAAGCAGAAATGCTCTTTTGAGAAGGAAATTACTTTAGCTGTCCAACATCAAAGCAAGGTGGTTGTGATGAAAATATGTAGTCAACCACTTGAGTTGATGAAGCGGCATTTGGCTACCCCAAAGAATATGAAATTTGGGGGTAATCAACTGTTTTGGCATCCTTTTTCTAAAGGAGGAAGGAAGGAAATAGCCCATAGGTTCTACATCGGTCCTGCCTCTCACCTCTCCCTTTACTAGATGTCACACAGCTTCGCTACTCACAGTGGTCCAAGTGCCTACAATGTCAGCATGGCCCAGGAGCTGGTTAGGAAAGAAGACATCCTGGCCCCACTCAGACCTCCAAACTCCGAATCTTCATTTGGACCCAATTACTCGGTGATTCCATTGCAAGTTAAAGGTTGAGAAGTACTCAATCATTACAGAGCATTTTCTAAATCTGTGACATGGCGCCTTGGTCTAGACTAGCGGTTTTCAACCGATGGCAATTCTTCCCTAGTGAAGACACCTAGAGATGTCACGAGA